GAGTTGCCCTTTCAGCTTTGCTGCTAGAAGTATGTGAATTATTGTTTCACAGGTTGTTTGGAAGTCATTAAAGGAGAACTATGAGGCAAGTGATTTTCACTCAATCTCAGAGTTCGAGCCTACCTGTGACAATGAAAATGTCACAGGTCGGCTCAATAGATCGGGAGGTGAGCGAACACATACCAGCGCTCACTTACGATCATCTCCCTGCAGAGAGCCGTGACTGTAAGTCACGGCTCTCTGCAGGAATCCCCCCCCCTCCCCTCCAGCGCTGACTGAGGGAGGGAAGGTATATGCCTGCACCTCTGGAAGTATAGCACTGCCTGTTTATTCTGGAATAAGTGAGACTAGGATTTTGGAACTAACCAACATCGACCCAGACCAATGATTACCGTCATCAGAGGTAACTGGTTTGTATAGTGCACAAGGAAAAACAATTCCTGGCTTTAAAAATGAAACAATGCTTCTGGCAGGTTGCAATGACCAATATGATTTATTTCCTGTTAGCACCCTTTTCATACGCCAGATGCCAGAGGTTTTCTCCACATACTGCTTCCTTTTTCATGATTTGTTTACATGTTATGTATCATTTGTGACGTTCTGTGTCAGTTATCTGAACCATGCCGTGCTGAGTGATATATTAAGTAATGACATTGGAGCTTACATACGAGCCCAGCTCACAATAAGTAGAGATTTAGCTCAACCCTCTATTTTTCTTTATTCACGTAATAAAGCCTTCTACTTACCTGCAGCCAGAGCCTCCTTAGCAGGGGCACTTCCAGCGGAACGGAACCGGAAACGGCTTCCAGTGAAGGACGGATGTCAGAATAACCTTGTGAGCTCCTTGTCACATTAATAAAGTTATTGAAAAAAAATTAATCCAAACCCATTTACTACAGAATGACCTCAACCTGAACTGTCATCCAATCAGCGGTGAGTGTACTAAAACGAGGCTCAGAACGCAAACAGCTGTCCCCGCTTCCGTGGTGACGTGTACCCCGAGCAGCACACCAATCAGGGCGGCGCTTGCTTGTGCAGCGTCGTTGTCCTATGGCAGGTGGCGTTGGTGCTGTGCTGCGGCTTGTCAGGAAGAAGAGCTGGAGGGGAGACATGACCGGGGCTCCGGGAGAAGAGGAGGAGTGAGGTTAACCGAGCGTGGGCGGCTTTCGTGGTGCCAGACCTCATGTCATTGAGCCAGGTGAATGAAGGCAGAATTCTAGCAGGGAAGGGGGTCCCCCAACCTAGCTGTGCAGACTGAGGGCAGAAGGGAGGAGGAGGGGGTTCCCTTTCACTCTCACCTCTGCATCACACATCAATGGACATGCATCCCATGGATTCCTCGGTGTCTCAGGCATGCTGTGTGTCTGAATCAATGAAATCTGCATAATGATACATTCCCTGGCATGGTAATGGACAGGACAACATGCACCAGGCAGCTCATTCAGAACAGATTTGTCACATTTATTCTGAAGCCTGTCATTATTTTATTACATTACTGCCTAGGATGCTGCTATTGATTCTACTGGAACGAATTCAGTTATTTTCATTTGGTGATTCGTGGAAGTTACACAAGAATATCTAATCCGTATCTTTTATTTCCTGAAATGTTTATCAACACTAGCACACTAAGGCTCACTGTACACCTTGCAATCTGACCATACAATGCTGTACAATGAACTCTAGATCTGTCAAAACTATCTAATATGATCCAATCAGGCAAGCTCTTGCACTACATACTTGTTGTTGGATCTAAAGGAGATTGTACAATTGGATTGTAATATGTGTGGTGAGCTTAACCCTTCCCCTGCACTTATGCATTATTAGATCAGTCATGTTATGATTTGTTTTGAAGATAAAGCTAATTATATTTACTGCTTTCTTACTAAAGCTGTTTGTAAAATCGTCTTAGAATGGGTTGGTTTATTAAAGCTGAACTCCTGGCAGCACAATGTCAGCAGATGTAGGGATTTGCTAATGTCCCTACCTGTGTGTTCTTCTTCTGACTCTTTTCTTTACTGAAATTTGGCATAAAACCCACTTCCTGGATGTGCTGCCAAGTAAGCTTGCTGCTGTGTGTACGCTCCTCCAGACACCAGCATCACAGCTTAGATTGGTCATGGTGCAGGTGTCTTTTCTGCTCCCCTGTACAGTCTTAGTGAGGGTATGTCTGCATCATCACAGCCTGAGTTTCATCACAGTGAAGATATTGTAGATCAGGAGAAGCACCAGGGCTTGGTGGAGGAGAAGCTTAGGCTCTAGTGACGTGGCGATAAAGGAAGTTCCCTTCCCAAGCCCAGATTCTGAGAACAGTAGATCATGTGACCACTAATTGGAGGCACCAAAAGACATATGTAGAGTAAAAGAACTAAATATTTATTGGTGAATTCATTGAATGTGTACAAGTTAAATAGTGGAGTTGGTTTTCATGTGTTTGGAGTTCAACTTCAACCTGTTTATAAATAGCTATTGTTTTCTTACAGTATAGGAGAGTGTCTAGCCTTCATTCAATGTGTAAATTGTGCTCTCTACATTAGGGTTCTGATTGAGCTAAGGGTGCAGACAAGGCCTCATTATAAAGATACGGCTATACCAGAGGGTGGGGAGATTAATATGGAATCCAGGAGCCAGCTCCATTGACATTAGCTAGAGAAAACCTCAAAAGTTAGATGCCAGATGTCATTTTTAAAGAGCACTGGCTACACGGCTTCTGGGATTTGTTCAGCCCTAATCTAGACTTGGTTATCATTTTATTTCTGCTTTGACTTGCTTGGGCTTCTAATGGGACAAAAACTGAACATATTAAATTGTCTTAATTTCAAGAATAACTGCGTTGTTTGCCATGGAATAGCCTCTTTCAAATGACAACCCTATAGGATGATTATTGAATGAAGTTACATTGAAAAATGTGTGCAGTGGTTGAAAATCGGAATCAATCTATTGACCGAGAATGGATTTCTTTCTATTGATAGAGGATTGATTTATTTGTATGTCATGCTATACCGAGTTCAAGTAAATCACCCCAGCAAACACTGCCTGTCTTTCTACAGATGCTGTACATTTCCAGGATGGCTAACAAGTCCTATTGAAAGGTAGGCATAAAGGATTTTTACCTATTGCTCATTGCATAGCTGCATTCATGACATTTGTGTACTGAACAATCAATGAAAATCAAACCTGTAAGACTAACATGGCAGGGGGGAGGCTTTATCTAATGATTTTTTTTTTTTTAAATCTACATGTGTCTAGTGAAACTTTGGAGGGTGAGCACTATTGTAATGTTGGCAGATTATTGCCACTGGACAATATAGACACATATATCCTCTTTTGTGCATCGTTTTTATTGCTTTAGGTTATGTCCTTCATTGTCCTTGTGAAAGGAGTACACCAATGCAAGTGACTGAACAAGATCTCCTTTATAAATAAAGGAAGACCTCGATAAAATTAGGTAAAGCTCTGTCAGGGATATATACCTAGCAGCTTTATTAAGGTTAAATGCTGGCATATGTGAGAGTTTAGATTTTGCAAAAAAAATAAACATATGGAGTGCATTCGTTTTTGCTGATGTATAAAGATTGGATAAAAGAGAACGTTAAAATGAATAACAATTTACTGTGTGGAAAATTGCATATTTGATTAATTAGATGGACATGTGCCCAGACCTCCAGTACACTAATTAGGCCTGTTTCATAAAGTGCAATATGCAAATTATAGGAATCTGGCTTTTCCTTTTCTTCTTGTTTTTGGTTACTGCTTCTTGCACATCCATTATTGCTCTTTCAACTATCAAATGTTTGCAATGCTTTGCATTGGGAGAACTTGGATTTCCATTGGCTGTTTGTGTTGCTGCTATGTTCGATCTGTGGGATAAACAAATATTGTCTAAATGCAAGAGACGTGTATTCTTCATTCTTGGAGTGCTTTGTACATTTCATCCAGACCTGTGCAGTAATCCAGTGTGAAACTTTGCCTGTGTGCAGGAGCTTCCTGTAATAGACTGGTCACTGTGGCTATCTCTCCTTGTGCAGGTTTTGTTTCTGCCCCCTTTTCTCTGTAGTTTTCTGCAGGCAGCCTGTAGTGGTTGGAGCCTGCTGGGTCCCTATCAATGTGCAGCACAGTGGTAAGTTTTTAGCTTTACGTATAAGTATGTTGTGTTTGGATTAGAAATTATATGATTTGTCTCTGCATTTATTTATATTTACTTAATTCCCTACAAGTTCAGATTCCTACAAGTTTCTTCAGATTGATCACCTCTCTATTCACCAGATTTATCTGGCATTATAAACTCCTAGGCTTCGCTTTTGGTCTTTTAACATACCCAAAGTCCCTGGGAGGGATCGCTTTATCTGACTAAAGTACCACTCCCTTTGCCACCTTGTGAGACTTGTAGACTTGTGTATACACTCTTCTACCAATTTGTGGGTTTAGATAACAGTCTGTCAGATATCCCTTTACATAATCTTCCCTGGTGTAGTCTATCCCATAGCTCTCATTTTCTCCATAAACATCTGATGATAGGTTCAACACTGGTTATATCTCGTAGAGCCTTCTTGAAATTTAAGATCTTTGGCTGGCTGACAGGTGTTGGGGCTCTCATTTCTGTAGCGGTCCTGACTGGCCTTCAGACTCTTTAATCCGCGTTTCTGGAATGCTCTGCAACTTACCCTCCCATCTCCTGTGGAATTTGATAGACCGCTAACAAACTTTGAGTCTCTTTACTCATAGTACTGGCCCGCTTAGACATTTTTTGTCATTAATTCACTCCGGAACCGGAATCTCCCTTATCTTAAATCTCAGCTTGGGAATGTGATCTAAACACTACTTTTACTCCTGCCCAGATTCAGAGAATACTCCTCTTTTTTTTTCCTCTTTGAAATCCACAATCTGCACTAGGGTTCAGAAGTCAAATTATTAAATTCTTATGTGGTGGTATAGCACCCTGGTGAAAATACATAGAGCGTTTCCAGATGTTTCTGACCATTGCTGGGAATGTGGGATGAGGGAGGCTACACTCTTCCACATTTTTTTTTGGTTCTGGTGTAAGGTCAGAGAGATTTCCCATAACGTCTTCCAGGACAGCATCACGAGATGGAATCTCCTCCCCCACACACAGGAAACACGTCACTTAATCTGCTTAAAAGACCCTCCTCTCCTCCACTCCCTCAGTCTTTTGTGTTTCAACAATTCACGGACTTCAATATCCCACTGGATCGATCCTTTACAAAAACAATCCCAATCCAGCACAGTCACAGAGGAAATCCGTTCTGAGTCAATTTCTAAATGCTGCAAAGCCATGTATCCCAGCCTGCTGGAGATCTGAGTCCTCGTCCTTCATACCATTGTAGCCTAATAAGGTTGAGGACTTTAGACGTATGGAGGACTCTCTCACTTTGGGGCAATTCTGTCGAGCATAACAACACTTGGGATTACTCTTTTTATTTCCTTTTCTCAGACAACGGCAAATCCTGTACAGGCTTAACGCATTATCTCATAGTAAGGAGGGTCGTTGAGGTCTTTACCACTCTTTCTTCCCTTCTGCATCTTTGGCTAACCTATCTTACTGGCACCTCCTTTTTTTCTTCCCCATGACCTTTTCCCTTTGCTTCTATTCCCTTCCTTCGGCCTCCTCCTATGGGGCCTGTGCTTTCTCTCTCATTTTGTCCCCCTCCCTTTAGTTCCATTAGCTGGCTCTGGTACTGGGGCCTTCTATCGGTGCACCTTTTCTGATTCCATGGTTTTAGCCCCTAAAAGAATGAACCGATTTTCTTTACGCAATATTTTATTAAGGAAAAGTAATACAAAACTCCAGCCAAGTCACAAGTATTATACTCACAATCAACTTATTTCTTGTCTTACAAGTGTTCAATGTGACCACCATCTGCAGCACGGGCAACATCAATGCGATAAGAGAATTCCTCCCAGGGTTATTCAAAAAGAATGAACCGATATCATGACGCATTGCTTCAGTTCCCAAGCATCGTCATGGAATGAGGTTTATGGTCCCTTTTTCTTTGGGGGAAACACCGTTGCCAAACTATCTCGATATGCTCCAAAACGTGCTCTTCACTTCACTGCAAGCAGATTCGCATGACTTCATTTTTCAACAAGATGGAGCACCGCCCCATTGGCACCTAATAGTTCAAGCTTTTTTAAATGAAAAAGTGCCCCAGCGATGGATTGGTCGGAAGGGGGCCAATGACCTTGCTCTTTGTGCTTGGGCTGCGAGATCCCCAGACCTCACCGTGTGTTTTTTTTTTTTCTTTCTTGTGGGGATATGTAAAAGATCACGTTTATGTTCCACCGCTACCCACTAACCTTGATAACCTTAAACATCGAATAACAACAGTGGATCGTGATATGCTGATACGCACATGGGAGGAATTCTCTTATCGCATTGATGTTGCCCGTGCTGCAGATGGTGGTCACATTGAACACTTGTAAGACAGGAAATAAAAGTTAATTGTGAGTATAATACTTGTGACTTGGCTGGAGTTTTTTGTATTACTTTTCCTTAATAAAATATTGCGTAAAGAAATCGGTTCATTCTTTTTGAATAACCCTGTATAATAAAAAGGTTAAAACGCTTCACTGATGATGGCAAAGGTTTATATTCTACAGGTTTAGATTTGATTTGCTCAGAGCTGATGCGTTCAATTACCATTTACTAATACCTGTGAATGTGATGTAAAGGAAAAATATATTTGTTTCATGCATTCCTATAGCCCCGTGCCAGTGCCTTATACTCACAGATACCATTTTCTGGTCAGGTTGTACATTTTTGTTTAATTTAACTGCAAAAAGCCAAACTGTACCCTTTTTATGATATCCTTACTGGGTCATTCACAAAAGTGGGGAGAGTTTGGAGAAGGCAGGAGAAGTGAACAATCTAGGTCATAGTAGCTGATATGGAAACATTCTCCAATTCAGCTCACTTTCCAGTTCAGCGATGTTGTCCTAGATTGTTCACTTCTCCTTCCTTCTCCAAACTCTTCATCCTTTTGTGAATAACCCTGTTAGTTTTGAGGAGTTTTTTTTTTTGTATGTTCTAATACGTCTTTCATCTTTGCACAAATATTGCTTGCTAGCGTTGTCCCTATGTCCTGTTGCGATGGAAAATAGTTCAGAATTTAATAACATGGTAACAGTCCATTCTGTCAGTTGTATTGTTTCTGGTTGCTAGATACTGTAGACCTGTTTATTTGTTCAGGGAGCCATGTTGATGGATTTGACATTAACATTCTTGTTGGAGTTGATGCTGCTTTATGTATACTGTGTCTAGTAATTTATGAATGGATTTTCTTATGTCCCAGGCTGACTGCATTGCTTGCTGTATTTCATTTGGATTGCAAACCAAAGAGCAACCACAGCCAGTACACAGCCCAGGAAAGTTAAAAAGAGTATTTGTTTAAGGCAACGGTGCATGTTTATGGTTCCTCCCTTAGAGTACATTACATATGGCAATGGCTGCATTTTTCTAACTGCTTAAAATCTACAGACAATGTTTGTAATTTATTTTTTTTAGACATACAGCAGTTTATAAGCTTTGGTTTAAATTTGTGATTTATTGTTTTTAATATTTTCCTTATTTTTCAAATTCTTGTGGCAGCTTCAAATATTAAAGATCCCCCAACCTTCACATTCCAATACAAGTAGGGGTAGACATATTATTAAGGAATCCAGCAGCCAGCAGGATTTTTTAAAAGCCAACTCCCTTGAGAACAACTAGAAAAAACGTGAAAAGTTAGACACCAGCTGTAATTTTTAAGGAGCAGTGGCTACTTGGCTCCTGGGATTTGTCCAGCCCTGAAAAAGAGACATACTGAGAATTACCTTTTTTTTATAAATGTATTTTAATGAAATTAGAAAATACGGACCGCCTCTGCATGATTTTATGCCCTTGTGTGATGCAATAGAAGTTTAGATAGTAGGTCACATGAGAAACTACTTGAAGCTACATCAGAGGTAGCTGAGAGCCACACATGGCACCCAATCCACCACCATTGCCATAGATTAGGTAGCATTTGAAGATTTTAGCACAGCCACAGTATGCAGAAATGTATTCATTACCTATGTCTTTTCACTGCTCCTGGGT